GCGCGCGCGCCTCTCCCCCCCACCCCGGCCTCCGGGCCCGCCTCCATGCGGGTGGGGGGGCAGCGGAGGAGGAGGCCCTAATTGGGGTGATGGGGGACTCACCACTCCCCCTGACGCTGGGGGGAGGTAGGGGATTTTGAGCCGGCTCCCGTGGGGACCTCTGGGTCTAGGACACTCTCCCGTCTCAGGAGTGGGGTGGGGGGGCGCACTGGACCAAATGCAATGGCGAGGGTGGGGGGAAACCTGAGCCCCGGGATGGGGAGGACTCGGGGAGATGCGAGGCACCCCCTGGGGCATCTCTAACGGGAAGAGGCTCGGGTTTCTGGCGGTCCAGATGGAAATAGGGGATGGGGACCTGGAACATCGGTTGTAATACTCCAGGACCGTCTGCGGGGCGGGGGCGCGCAGGACAACCATCCCCGCTGGGCTCGCGTCCTGGCCTAGCCACCTGCGCGTGGAGGAGGGTGGGGTGCCGAGGTCCCCTCGTCCATGGCGTGTTTGGGGGTTCCCTGTGGAACTATCGTTAGTTGGGGTGGGAGGAGAACAAGGACCTGACTCCAAAGCCATCTCCGGTTCATCATACTGATCCAGGGCGGAGGAGGGGCTCAGATGGAGGATGGGGGAGGAAGGGGCTCAGGTGGAGGATCTGGGGGGAAGAGGCCCAGATGGAGGATGGAGGGAAGGGGTTCAGGTGGAAGATCTGGGGAGAAGGGGCTCAGATGGAGGGTCTGGGGGGAAGGAGCTCAGGTGGAGGAACTTTGGGGCTAGGATTGTCTCTCTTTAGAGGTTAGGGAAATACTGGGCCGTATCTAATGTGAGCAGAGTCTACCACAGTTCTAGAAGGAAGGGGAAGCAACCAGTCTCCTGAATCATCATCTCTGATAGGGACCCGGCCTTAGATGTGTGTAGAAGACGTTAGATTCCAAGACGCTTTTAGAGTTGTGGGGAGGGGGCCCAAAGTTTGAGTCAAGGTCCACCCCCAACTGTCCAAAACCCCACCCCCACTCTCTGGAGCTCCTGGAACAGATCGCTTTTCTCAGACCTCTAGAGAGGTGAGATCAGAGCTCGTCCCCGCGGGACCCGTAGGCGCGGGCGCGCGCCGTTGCCAGGGGCGCCCGGGCCCCACCCCTGTACCCTGGAGCCGGCGTGGGCGGGCCAGCGCCGCGGGGCATGCGCACTGAGACCGGGCTCCCGCGCGCCCCCTGGTGGCGCAGGGGGAACATCGCGCCACGACCCACTTGGACGGGGCGTCCCCACCCCCACACACCTCTGCCAGGGAGCAAGTCCCTCCCCAGGAAAGGGGACACCACTGCCCCCCTTCCCTGCCAGGCCCCCGGGGGCCCAGCTGGAGGTCCTACCTCATGGCAGTCTCGGAGGAAGTGCTGCAGTCCAAGCTGGTCGTATAGCTTCTGCATCCACTGCTGGGCTCTTAATTGGTTTTCTTGGCTCCTAGGGATGGGAGAGGGAAGGGTTGGGAGAAACCCTGGTGGGGAGACACAAAAATTTAAGAGAAGGAAGGGGAGGGGGAGGAAAGGGTGGAGGAGGAGGTGGGACAGAGGCAGGGACTGGACTGCAGAGAGACAGAGAAAGAGAATTAGACAAATCTGGAGAGACAGAGGTAATGAAAACAGGTGCCTCACACCTGTAATCTTAGCTATTCAGAAGACTGCGATCTGAGGATCATGGTTCAAAGCTAACCTGGGCAGGAAGGTCTAGCCAATATACTACTCAAAAGCCAGTAACAGTGCTGTGGCTCAAAATGGTAGAGCACTAGCCTTGAGCACAAACACTCAGAAATGGTGCTCAGGCCCTCAGTTTAAGCCCCAGGACTGGCATGCATGTATACAGACACAGACACAGACACAGATACACCCACCCACACACACACACATAATCAGGGGGAAAAGAGAGTCAAAATAAATTAAGCAAAATAAAAAGAGAGTCAAGCCCAGAGATAATACAGAACTAAAGATAAAATAAGAGATACTCAGAGACTAAAATTAAGTAAAAAAGGAGAGAGGTGGAGGGGGGGCAAAAAGAGCCTCACGTATTAATATAGAGACACAGACACATAAACATGGCCAGAGACCAAAAAAAAAAAAAAAAAAGCAGAGACCTCAAGAGAGAAATATTGACAGAGACCCATAGGGGCACAAAGACAAGGAAAGAGGTAGAAGAGAAAGAGAAACAGACAGCTAGGGAATGTGGCTCAGTAGTAGAACACTTGTGTAGTACTTGGTAAATCCAGAAGAAGAAGAAGAGGAAGAAGAAGAAAAGGAGGAGGAGGAGGAGGGGGAAAAAGAAGAATGGAAGGAAGGGGAGGGGGGAGGGGGAAGGGGAGGAGGAGAGAGTCCAGCATGGATGGCTCACACCTGTAATCTTTTTTTTTTTTCCGTGGGCCTGAACTCTGGGCCTGGGCGCTGTCCCTCACCTCTTCAGCTCAAGGCTAGCGCTCTACCACTTGAGCCACAGCACCACTTCTGGCTTTTTCTGCTTATGTGGTGCTGAGGAATCAAACCCAGGGCTTCATGCATGCAAGGCAAGCACTCTACCACTGAGCCACCTTCCCAGCTCCTCACACCTGTAATCTTAACTACTTAGGAGGCAGATCTCTTATCTCCAATGAACCACCAAAAAAAGACAGAAGTAGAAATGTGGCTCAGGTGGTAGAGTGATAGCCTTGAGCACATAAAGGTCAGGGACAGTGTCCAGGCCCTGAGTTCAAGCCCCAGAAGCAGCACATATGCACAAAGAGAAGCAGTTTCAGACAATGAAGAGAGGGGAAGAGGGAGGGAAGTGACGGAGGAAGTTGGGAGACCCCAATTAGGGAAAGGCAGAGAAACGGTCAGATGCCACCAGGAAGTCAGTCCGATAGACAGACAGGGGATGGCAGAAATGCAAAGAGACAAGAGAGAGATGGCATTGGAGCACAGGGAGGCAGGATGATGCCCCCACAGGGCATAGGGAAGTGGGGGGGGGCAGGTGTTGGCCTGAGAACACTTGGCAGGCTGGACCCAGGCCCAGACATCCATCTCCAGTCAGCCTGGCCTCTGCTCACAGTGTAGGCCCAGGTTTCTAAAAGATATGGGTCCCACATCGGCATGAGTGCATGCGCCTGTCCCGGTCCCCCTCCGTGTGAGGACCTACTTCTCCAGCAGCCGGGTCACAGCGTCCTGGGCCTGCTCCCCGTAGACGTTGCCCTGCCGCAGCAGGCCCTCGGCAGCCTGCACCGCCACCTGCATCTTTTGCTGGTTCAGCTCCATCGTGGTGAGAAAATCCCTGTGTCTTTTTATGGCTTCTTCTACAGACTCTACCGTGCCTGGGAGCTCTGCGCTGGACAGCGCCACCTCCTGGGAATGAAAGGGAACACAGGTCAGCTTCCTCCAGCTCCAGCTACCATCCAAGTACCAATCACTCTTCCCATTCCCCTTTCCTGGGTTCAAGTGCACCGTGCCAGAAATGGCCTTACCTCAAGGCCTTTGCTCATGCTTGAATGCTCTGTCTGACCTCTACATAGCACCTGGATGGTATCCTCTTTTTTTCAAGTCTCTGAAACTATCAGTCTCTGCCAAACTAGCAAGTATATCCTTCAACTGCACTTGGTGCCCATAGCGTATACCTGCTGTCAGCGCTTTATTTTGCCTTGGTTTTTAGCTTTTTGTGTGTGTGTATGTTGGTACTAGGGGCTTGATCTCAGGGCTTTACACTCTTGCTTGGCTTTTTCCACTCAAGGCTGGTGATCTACCACTTGAGCCACAGCTCTACTTATGGCTGTGTGTGTGTGTGTGTGTGTGTGTGTGTGTGAAAGAGAGAGAGAGAGAGAGAGAGAGAGAGAGATTCATTGGAGATAAGAGTCTCAAGGACTTTCCCATCCAGGCTAGGTTTGAACAGGTGATCCTCAGATCTCAGCCTCCTGAGCAGCTAGGATTACAGGTGTGAGCCACCAGCGCCCGGCTAAACTGCAAGTTTCTTTCCTTTTTTTTTTTTTTTCCAGTCCTAGAGCTTGAACTCAGGGCCTGGGCACTCTCTCTGAGTTTCTTTTGCTCATGGCTAGCACTCTACCACTTGAGCCACAGCATCATTTATGGCTTTTCTGTGTATGTAGTACTGAGGAATTGAACCCAGGGCTTCATGCATGCTAGGCAAGTATTCTACCACTAAGCCACATTCCCAGACCCCCCCCTTTTCTTTTGCCAGTCCTGGGGCACTGTCCCTGAGCTTCCTTTGCTCAAGACGAGCACTCTACCACTTGAACCACAGTGCCACTTCTAGATTTTTCTGAGGATTGAACCCAGGGCTTTATGCGTGCTAAGCAAGCACTGTACCACTAAGCCACCTTCCCAGCCCCTGAACTGAGGTTTTCTATCCTCTAAATTCTTATATTTGGTTCCCTTCCCAGAATGATCTGGAAATTAGATCACGCACTTAGATCACTTCCCACCGTCCCCACAGGGGGCCCAGGACCCCCACCCACGCCAGCCTCATACCCCCTGCGAGTTGGCACCTGATTGCGCAGCACAGCGAGCGCCTGGCACAAGTCACGCAGGAAGAGCTGATAGACGTGGGCCTGAACCAGGGCCTCCCGGCGCGCCTCCCACAAGCCGAGCAGTTTGTGCCAGCCAATTTCCAGGTGTGGGAGCCACTCATCGAGAGCCAGGCCCGGGCCCAGCTCGGCACCGTCGGCCGCCAACAGCGCCTCGCTGGCCGCCACGATGCGCGCATAATCCTCCTCGCGCTGACCCACTTCCTCCTTGAGGGCAGCGTGGCGCGCCAGCAGCGCATCGGCCTCTTCCAGGCTGCTGGGCAGGGGCCCCTCGCTGCCCCCCGCTGCCTCCTGGGCACGCACCAGCCAGTCCAGGAAAGCATCCAGGTCGTGCAGGAAACGCTGCAGTCGCCCGGCCGCCGCCACCGCCTCGCCGCAGGCTTGGGCCGAGCTCGCCAAGGCGCCCCACTCGGTCCCCAGCTCCTGGGCGCCCTGGTGCAGCCGCGCCGCCTGCGCCGGGAAGCGCTCGGCCAGCAGGGACGCCTCCTCCAGGAGGGCCGCCTGGCGTGGCTCCAGCGCTTGCAAAGCCGCCTCTAGGCCACTCAGGCGCCACTGCAAGGCGCCGCCGGCCCGGGGTGCGCTCTCCACCGCCCGCCGCTTCTCCCGCACCTGGGCGCGCACTTCCGCCACCTCCAGCACGTGGTTCTCCACCAGCAGCACCGCGCTCACCTCCTCTTTGCGCTGCTCCACCAGCTCCACAATGCGATTCCACCTGCCCCGGGGAAAGAGGGCGACGGGTTATGCAGGGAGGGGCCCTCCCATCCATCCCGGAGAGAAGCCAGGCCACCGCCCGCCCGGACTTGGAAAAGACCCGTTAGCCTGTTAAAATGGAGCCCCATCCAGCACACGGCTTCGAGCAAACAGGTCCTGGATGTAGGGCAAGCCAGACACTGGTAGCGCAAGCCTGTAATTCTAGCAACTAAGGAGGCTCAGATCTGAGGATGGCTGTTTGAAGCCGGGGGTGGGGTGGGTGGGGAGATATTTGAAGCCAGGGTGGGGGCAGAGATATTTATCTCCTGTTAACCAGCAAAAAGCCAGAGGTGGAGCTGTAGTTCAAGTGGTAGAGCACCAGCCTTGAGTGAAAAAGCTCAGGAACAGCACCCAGGTGCTGAGTTCAAGCCCCAGTATTGGCACACATGTTCTCTCTCTCTCTCTCTCTCTCTCTCACACACACACACACACACACACACACACAATTTATGAGCTCTACCCACAGTGAACATTCAGGAAGTGTTTTAAGAAGAAAGAAAACAGTTGGAGCTGGTTGCCCATGGCTCATGCCTGTTATCCTAGCTACTCGGGAGGCTGAGATCTGAGGACTGTGATTTGAAGCCAGCCCAGGCACAGAAGTTCCCATGAGACCCATCTACATTCACTCAAAACTTGGAAATAGCACTGTGGCTCAAGTGTTAGAATGCCAGCCTTGAGCACAAAGGCGAACAGGGACAGTGCTCAGGCTCTGAGTTCAAACCCCACAAGAAAAAGGAGGAGGAGGAGGAGAAGATGGAGGACGAGGAGATGGAAGAAAAGTTGAAGGGGGAGGCTACCAATTTGCTACAATTTGGTTTGATTATCATGGTGGTTGAATATGAAGAGAAAGATGGGGAAAACCAGTGTACGCTACCAGGAAGAACTTGCAGGCCCAGTCCCCATTTACCTGCTGTTGAGGTGGTCCTGGCAAGAGCGCACCTCATCTGAACTGGGGTGACCTCCATCCACGAGCTCTTGGACCGTGTGGTTCACGTCCAGGACGCGGCTCATGAAACTATTCATCTCCTGGTCTAGGCTCTCGAATCTGAAAAAGAGGATGGAGGTGCTCATGGGTCAGACTTCTGGAGCCCTGCCCTGAGTCTTGATTCACTTCCCCTTTCCTGGCTCTGGTCCTACCTTTCCAGCTATTTCCCAGAATCCTTTGCCAGTTCCTCCTCTTTGATTGGCTACAGACATGTTTGGTTGCTTAAGTAGCCCATCCTGAGTCTATGGACTGTCCATCACACCCTCCCTGGCCCATCTCACCCACCCCCCACATCTTCAGACCCCACACCTCGAACTCCTGACCACCAGTCACAATTCAGTCACCAGCCTAAACTCCTTTTTGATCTACCCCTAACCTTAAAGCTTGCTATACATTTCCTTGGGGCTCTCATGGCCATTGTGACTCTGCCCTGGCCTTCCTCTTCCAAGATTAACTGACCCCCTTGGGCCTTGATTAGCACCTCGATCCCAGTCCATCAGCCCCCAGGCCAGGGCCAGTTTACTTGGACTCTTTTATTTTATTTATTTTTTTGTTATGGGGCTTGAACTCTGGGCCTGAGCGCTGTCCCTTAGCTCTTCAGCTCAAGGCTAGTGCTCTACCATTTGAGCCACAGCGCCACTTCCAGTTTTCTGGTGGTTTATTGGAAATAAGAGTCTCACAGACTTTTCTACCGGGCTGGCTTTGAACCACGATCCTCAGATCTCAGCCTCCTGAGTAAGCTAGGATTACAGGCGTGAGCCATTGGCACCTGGCTTTGTACTCTTAACTATAGTTCAAGCCTATCTCCTTCGAACACGAGTCCCCAACCTAGCTGCCTCTCTAAATTTCCAGCTGTTTCTCACTCCAACCTGCTCCTCCACATGGCATGCCAGGGGACTGAGCATGGTCTGCTCTTGTAAAGAAAAATGTATAAAACAACTGGATAATTGTGGGCACAGTTATTCAAGCCCAGCTCTGGAATTGGAGATGAACTCAGAAAAATCCCTGTGCATGCATGCATGCATGCATGCATGCATGGATGAATGTATGGATAAGATGCTGGGGTGGGGGTAGGTAGAGGACAGACGTCCACTCATTAATTTAACACTCAGGCTTAGGTCAGGCCACAGACAACTTGGTGCATGATACATGGAGCAGGAAGGTGGGAGGTAAATGTAAAGCAGGCGAGGGACAAGAGGTGGAGATAGGGCTGGGAAGGTGGCTCAGTGGTAGAGCGCTTGCCTTGCAATGCATGAGGCCCTGGGTTCAATTCCTCAGCACTACATAAGCAAAAAGAAAAAAGCCGGAAGTGGGGCTGTGACTCAAGTGGTAGAGCGCTAGCCTTGAGCTGAAGAGCTGAGGGACAGTGCCCAGGCCCAGAGTTCAGGCCCTACAACTGGACCCCCCAAAAAAAGAGGTGGAGATAGCATTGCTACAGGGTGGGGGGCTTGAGTGGTAGCCTAGGCTGGGCTGTCTGTGAGTAACTTTGGCTGGGATGAAGATAAATTCATGGGGAATGCTAGTAGTACCCCTAGGGGACTTGTTAAGTGTCTCACACCTACTAACATTTCTTTCCTTCCTTCTTTCTTTCCTTCTTGCCTGCCTGCCTTATTTCTTCCTTCCTTCTTGTGTGCCAGTACTAGGTCTAGAACTCTGGGTTTCACACCTTCCCTTGGCTTTTACCCTTAAGCCTGGTGCTCTACCACTTGAGCCATACCTCCACTTCTGGCTTTTGCTGGTTAATTGGAGGTAAAAGTCTCAAGGACTTTCCTGCCCAAGGCTGACTTTGAACCTGTGATTCTCAAAGCTCAACCTCCTGAGTAGCTGGGATCACAGGCTTGAGCCACCAGCGCACTCCCTCCCTCCTGAGTTCATTTTATGTTCCTACCAGTTTGTGGAACTGTCCCCCCCTTTTTTTTTTTTCGTTGGCGGTGGGGCTTGAACTCTGGGCCTGGACTCTGTCCCTCAGCTCTTCCACTCAAGGCGAGGACTCTACCATTTGAGCCACAGCGCCATTTCCGGTTTTCTGGTGGTTACTTGGAAATAGGAGTCTCATGGCCTTTCCTGCCAGGGCTTGAACTGCGATCCTCAGATCTCAGCCTCCAGAGTAGCTAGAATGACAGGCGTGAGCCTCCGGCGCCCAGCTTTCCTCCCCATTTTACAGATGGGCAAAATGAGAAGTTCAGAGAGGTTGGACAAACTCCAGATTGTCACAAAGCCCATTAAGGATGAGCCTGGGAGTCCCCAGCATCCGGAGGCTGGGGGACACCCCCCCCAACCCCGCCACCCCAGAGCCGCGCTCACCGGTGCTGCACCACCTCGACGTCGTCCAGGGAGTCGGGCACGCGCATGGCGAGCAGCCACTGCTCCTTCTCGCCGATCCACAGCTCGCACGCGTGCACCTCGCCGAACATGCGGTACACGGCAAGCGCGTCCCGCAGCCACTGGCGCCGCAGCGCCGCCACCTCGGCCACCTCGGCGAACAGCTGCTCGGCCTCCACCACGCGC